GCATCTTATCAGACCACAAAAACGGAAGGACTCAAAATGCAACGACTCCAAAGACTTTAATACAATATAAGGCTTGAAGGCTCAAACACAGGGTAACAAAGACAATCTGGCACAGAAACAAAGAACAGGGGGTTTAAGTACACTGAGGGAGTAGGGACCCAGGGCAACACATTAGGGCGGGCTGGTTAATCCACAGGAGTGAAGGCAGACAAGGACCAGGGAAGTGAAGAGTACTGCAAATGAGACACACAAGGTAAGTACAAAATAAAACAGGAAGCACGGTCCTCAGGGCTGGGGTGACAGTACCCCCTCCTCTTAGGGCCCGCACCGGACGCCCAGGAACACCCAGGATGAAGCCGGTGAAGTCCTGGAATCAGCTGTGGGTCCAAAGATATGGCTTGGCGGACACCCAGGACCGCTCTTCGGGACCGTACCCCTCCCAATCAAACAAGATACGCAGACCCCGCCACGACGTCTGACCGCTAGCCAGTCCTTCTCACTGTGTACAAGCCAGATTCACATCAACAAACACGGGAAGAGGCGGCGACGGGGTGCGCGGAACAAGTGGGCTCTCCTCACAGGTTTAATCCGCTCACAAGGAACGTGGGGTGCACTCTCATGTTCCTTGGCAGTTTCAGCTTCAGGGGGGGCTACAGGATTGAATGACTTGGAACTGAAAAGGCCCAACACACCGAGGGGTCCAACTTACGGCTTTCGACGGAAGGTGAGGCCCGGGTCCGACCACCACACCTTTTGACCCCAACGGATACTGTGGGCTGACTCCGACGATTGTCAGATGATTTTCATTATAGACCCCCGACTGACGCAGAAGTGTCTGTCGGGCACGGCTCCAGAATCCGACGTCAACGGTGAACAAAAGCCTGGGCTGCGGCACACCCACATTCTTTCTCAGGGCTGAGAAAAGTGGGGGCTGATACCCATAAGCACACTGGACAGGGAGTAAGACCATGAGAAGCACAGGGTGAGTGTATTGTGAGCGTATTCCACCCTTACAGGTGTGTACTCCAAGATGTAGGGGTTCGTCGATACCATACATCGCAACCCAATCTCCATTCTGATCAACGTCCCGTCTGGCCAGTTTGGACGGGATGGTACCCCGAAGAGATTCTGACTGAATCCCCCAAGAGATTGCAGAAGGCTATACAAAAGCGGCGGTGAACTGGGGTCCCCTATCAGAGACAACATCTCTCGAATCCATGTAACCTGAACACATGCACAAGAACACTCTCCGCCGTTTCCTTAGCGGTGGCAAGTTTAGCAGAGGAATGAAATGGGCCATTTTAGAGAATCTGTCCACAACAGTGAGGATTGCAGTGTTACCTTCACAGAGGGAGGCCTGTACAAAGTCCATTGGATATGTCAGACAGGGTCGTGCTGGAACTGGAAGAGGATGGAGATACCAAGCTGGGGGTTGGTTGGTCGACTTGTTTCTGAGCACAGACAGGGCATGCGGCAACAATAGTCCTTGAAATCCTTCTCCATGGCTGGCCCAACCAGAACTCTGTTGCAACTGTAAAAAGAGTCCTTTTGACACCTGGATGACAGAAAAACTTAGGTGTGGGACCAGGTGATCACTTGAGGAACGAAGGGGCAGGGTACGAACAAGCGGTTAGGTGGACAGCCCGGATGGAAGAGGCATGTGCTTGGTAGCCTGCTTAACACTCTCCTCTACTGCCCCACACAACTGCCCCAACCACACACGTATAGGGGCATGATAGTCTCTCTGGAGGTTGTGTGGCCGATGCAGTCTCAAAAATGCGGGATAGGGCATCTGGCTTAGCATTCTTGAACCTGGGCGATAAGAACAAAGTTAAAATTAATCTATTAAGAATAGGGCCCCACCTTGCCTTCTGGAAGTCAGTCTCTGGCAAGTACGGAGATACTCCAGATTTTTGTGATCGGTCCAGACAAGGAATGGGTTCTCGGCCCCTCGCAACCAGTGCCTTGCTAAAACTTGCAATGGCTGAAGCCATTGCGATTGACTGCGGAACAGATCTAATGTGGAAATCTGCTAAAAAAAATCCTTGAAATCCTTTAAAAAGCCTTGAAACTGTTAAAATATACTAGTGATAGATATTTGAAACTCCTGAAGTCCTTGAAATTGTTGAAACCTTTAAACTCCTGAAATCCTTGAAACTGTTGAAACATTGAAACTCCTGAAATCCTTGAAACTTTTTTAAACCTGGAAACTGTTGAAAGTGTGGAAACTCCTGAAATCCTTGAACCTCCTGATATCCTTGAAACTGGTTAAATTCTTAAACAGCTGAAATCCTTGAAACTACTGAATGTATTGAAAGTGTCCTTGAAACTGAAAAATCCCTCTCACCGCTGAAACAATTTGGTTCCTGTAACTAAGGAAACCTGGTCTGTGGTCATTATCTGGTGGTGGTCTGAGTCTTCGTTTGGGTCTTGGTCTGGTGGTATAATGCAACCTATTAGGTTGCATTATACATGAAAAAAACCCAATTAAGTTGCATTATACTGGTTTACATGGAAAAATCCCTATTAAGTTGCATTATACTGGTTTACATGGAAAAAACCCTATTAAGTTGCATTATACTGGTTTACATGGAAAAAACCCTATTAAGTTGCATTATACTGTTTTACATGGAAAAATCCCTATTAAGTTGCATTATACTGGTTTACATGGAAAAAACCCTATTAAGTTGCATTATACTGGTTTACATGGAAAAATCCCTATTAAGTTGCATTATACTGGTTTACATGGAAAAATCCCTATTAAGTTGCATTATACTGGTTTACATGGAAAAAACCCTATTAAGTTGCATTATACTGGTTTACATGTAAAAACCCCTATTAAGTTGCATTATACTGGTTTACATGGAAAAATCCCCATTAAGTTGCATTATACTGGTTTACATGAAAAAAAACCCTATTAAGTTGCATTATACTGGTTTACATGAAAAAACCCTATTAAGTTGCATTATACTGGTTTACATGGAAAAATCCCTATTAAGTTGCATTATACTGGTTTACATGGAAAAATCCCTATTAGGTTGCATGATTACACTGAAGTCCTTGAAACTGCTGAAGTCCTTGAAACTGCTGAAGTCCTTGAAACTGCTGAAGTCCTTGAAACTGTTGAAGTCCTTGAAACTCTTGAAATCTTGAAACTGCTGAAATCCTTGAAACTGTTGAATCCTTGAAACTGTTGAATCATTGAAACTGTAGAAATGTCTGAAAGAGCTGAAGTCCTATTAAAATGCATGGGCCTATTAAAATGCATTGCAGAATTCTCAATGCAGATTTTTGTCCGATTGCGGAAAAACCGGAAATCGCTGAAGTCCCAAAAGTAATAGCAATAATCTCCCAAACATGTGGAACGTTTTGATGTATAACTTGTGGAAATTGTTGAAAATGTGAAAGCTGTGAAACGTGTCAAAAAAAAGCGCTTGCTCTCCTCTACTTCTCTGCTCCATTTCAAAATTAAACTTCCTGTTAGAAGTTAGCATTAGCTTAATGTTAGCAGTTTTAGCACGTAGTAAAAGTGAGTAAAACAAAACCTTACAAATTACATTATTTTGATGAATCTGGTGAAAAACTAAACATATTCAGAATTTACTGGTTTGAATGGGAGCAGTCAAAATGACGGCTCTGGTAGTCCTGGTGTTAAGCAAATCCTCAGACAACAACGTCATTTTTGATTTTTGAGTTGATTTTGTGTCTTTTAAATCTTAATTGTTGCTTGTGAAAATAAGCTGATTGAATATTAATTAAGGTATTTCCATCCGTGGCTTTGATCGCGCCGCATTGGATATAAATTATAAAAACAAATGTACTTTATAATCTGTGTTAATTTGCCGATTGTCTCTTTCATTTCAGACATTGAAACACCATCGACCGCACCAGAGAAAGCCATCAAACCCGCCTGTGAGAAAATATGACATTAAAACTTCACAACATTAATAGTTTAAACCTGTCTCACCTCATACAATAATACTTTAGATCTTGTTTTTAAACAATTATCCAGTTTCATAATGTCTGTAACATTCGTTTTTTGTTTTTCAACTTCCATTTTAATGTTTGTATTTTTTCTACATTTTGATAGTATTTTTAAGGTGTTTTTCTTCTTTTTTAACCCTGGTTACAAACATTTTTCAGTGTGGAAACCATGGCTTGAGTTCCTTCAGGCGGCTCGCAGAATCCTCCCGTCTCATGTTAAAAGTCTACTTTTAGGATTTGACCCTAATTTTTCAGACTTTTTTTTGGTCCAGTTTTGACTATACACATGCGTTTACACAATTTTATTTTTATTCAAACTTTTGTTAAAATAGTTTACACTTAGTATTGTCCTGGTTTAAGATCTCTATCTCATTGCTTTAGCTGGGTTCAAGGCATCTGTTCAGCCAAGTTTTTTTTTTACCACTTTTACTAATTTTTAACCAGTTCAATGTAAGTTAAATTCACAAAAACAAATTGAAGGCCTATTTTCTCTAAAATGTATGTCTAAAATTCAGTTCAATCTCTGTTTAAGAACCCTTTAAAATAATCTGTATTCTCAACACTAGCTTCAGATAACTACGAACCATACGTGGCAAAAATCTCTCATCATTCATTTCCTCCTGGACAAACTATAAACGAGACTTTTTCAGCAGCGACTACGCCGACATCTATGGAATGTTGATGCATGGGTGCACACAGACAGACAGACGTTACTTGCATTTATAGATAAATGTTTTCTTGTTTTTGAATGTCATTGTCCTCTATCTTTGCTGAAATTTCAGAGCTCCAACTGTTACTCTTTTGCAAGGAAAGAACAAGAACCAGGATGCTATGAACCAAAAAGCCAACCGTTCCACTCAGCTGGACTGATTTTATTGTGACGTTGAGAGTTGCTAATGCAGACTCCTGTAGCACCTTAACCTTACACAGGAATATCTGGGGTGATAAAAACCTGGTTAGCAGTTGCTTTGAGCGAAGAGATAGACCTGTTCTAGACCTGAGTTTGTCCTGTTCTTATGGTATGGTCTGGTGTTGATTCTACAGACTGCTGGACCCCGTGGTTCGACAGAGACGATCCTTCTGGTAAAGGAGACTATGAGACTATTTACCATCTGCGAAAGGAAAACCCTGGAAAGATCTGCGACAAACCTCATGGCATGCAGGTCCAGACCATCTCAGGACTGCCAGCCTCCTCCACCGGGAACAGCTTTTACAAGTCAGTAGATGTTTACATTTACTTTTAGACTTTGTTTCTGGTTCTGCGATCTAAAGCCCTTTCCAATACACAATGTTGATCTTCTTACTCTGGCTGAGCATTACGCTATAAGTAACAATAATAATAATAGTTTTATACTGCGGTTTATATTCATTATTAATTCTCTACGTACTACTGTAGCCACGGCTGCCTTGGGGCACAATGACCAGTATTTGCCATCCACCCACCAACCACTCACACACACACCAGACTGATTCTAAGCAATGTAAAAAAGGAAACAGCTACAAGTTGGCCCTTTACAACCACAATCGCCAAACTGTAGCACCAGAGGTCTCCCATCACGGTACTACCCAGGCCCTGGTTAGTGCTGCAGGGTGTAGTAAGTAGTGTGTTCCAGTTGTACTCTCTAAGAAACCTTTGAAAATCCAAAATGGCAGCGCGGTGTGTTTTTTTTTTTCAAGTTAAGATCAATTACTTCCAGTTATTTTCTCTTTAGTCGTTCTCCACTGTTTGTAATTATAATTATTTATTTATATTAATTTATTTATTTGACAGGGACATTGCAACTCAACACAGAACAAAACAAGCCTGTAACTGATGCGATGCAAAAAGAATTTATACCTATTGCTAATGTTCAACTACTACCTATTTTGCGCTTCAGTCGTTGCAGCTAAAAATTACAGATGCTAATGTTGCTAACTATAAACTTGGCTGCAGAGGGAACTGTAGCAGCTTAGCATGTAGCATGTAGCATGTTGTTGAAAATAACAACGCTTTTTTGCCAAAAAAAAAATACCTTTGCGTGTTTTTCCAGGAACGACCTAACCACAGGATTCATCTGTAGAAACAGAGACCAGAAGAACGGTCGCTGTCTGGACTATAAGGTCCGCTTCTGGTGTCCCTGCGTACCAGGTGAGCGCCACAATGGACTGTGCAATACAAATATACTTTTTGCCATTTCTGTAAAAAACATAACAAAAATACAGATCTAAATTTGAAAAAGTTTGGAGATCTTTGATACAGTGTAGACCATAAGAATCACCTTTAAAACTCTGGTCCCATGTACTAAATACTACCTTGTTATGGTCGCAGAGTGCTGGACTCAGTGGTTCGATGTAGACGATCCCACCGGAACTGGAGACTGGGAAACTCTCACCTTCTTACGCCTTCATTATCCTGGAAAAATCTGTAAACGTCCGCTGGAGATCGAGGCCCAGACCACGGCAGGAGTTCCAGCTGCTGCTACGGGACAGAACTTCTACAGGTAACGAGTAAAAGTGGTGCTACAATAAGACATGATGATTATTGATCCAAATCAGAACTTGCATTATAAATACTAGGAAGTCACAAACAAGGTGCATTTAAGAATGACTGCTACACTGCCAAAAACTGATCAAACAAGAAGTAATAAATGTTTGAAGCGATTTGTTTTCATCTTAAATTAAGCACATTCTGACAAGATTCTCCAAACCTGTTTTAAGACTAGAATTTGCTTTAATTAAGATGCATTTAGCCACATTTGAGCAATTTCTGACTTATTTGTCATCACTTTTCCAGAGCATACACAAGTGCACTTAGAGGCTGAGCAGAATTTATACATTTAATAATATGAAGAACATGAATCGCAATATTTAGTAGAATAGAATCGTAATACTTTCTGTATCGCAATATGTTAAGAATCGCAATAATATTGAATTGTGTCCCAAATATCGTCCCATTTTTGCCACTTCCCGCCCCTACCACATGGGGGTGTTTTACGTCTTTTCCTTAAGATCAAACAACACATGAAAAAGCACAATTATTTCAGTCACAAATCTCAGCTTTTTGGGTTTCATGACAGTCTCCTCTCTGGTTTTTCACACCATTTCCGGAGATAAAGGAACTGTTTTGTTGTGTTTTGTTATAGAATCGACACAGATGTAGGATTAATCTGCAGAAACCATGAGCAGAAGATTCATCGGCAGTGCTTCGACTACCGCGTTCGCTTCAGGTGTCCCTACGAGTTCTGCTATCCTCAACGTGAGTTCACTTCAAACCGTTCAAACACAAGAATGATAAAAAAACACAGAGACATTGGTCCATACGAGCTGGATTTGCCCCACAAGCCTGAGTTTGACATGCCTGAGCGAGTTAGCATGTCTGTGTGAGCGTTTGGAGCTGGGTAAATGTATAAGAGAGTTTTAATGTCGGGTCTCGATATTACAGCCTGCTGGACTCGCTGGTTCGACAGAGATGACCCCTCTGGCTCTGGGGACTGGGAGACTCTGTTTGCTCTTCGTGCTGAGTTCCCAGGACAGATCTGCAACTCACCTCTGGAGATCCAAGTGCTGACGACTAGCGGGAACAGTGTGGCATCCACCGGGAACGTGATCACGGCGTAAGTTTGAGGGCTGCTAACCTCCGCTCCTCCAAATGCTCTTGTTCAAACCTTTTATAAATCCTATGATATCATCCATCGATCCATTCATTTAGATCAGATTCAGTTTCTTTGCCTTTTGCAGTAAAACCACATTGGAATACTTGGCAAAAGTCCCCAGTGAGCACAAGTTAAGTACATTAATAAATCAGGCTAAAAAGTACAAGAAACAACTGTGAATTTGACTGATAAAGGTTTGTGGAAAGAAGCTGTTAGAATATCCAGATGTCTTGCATCTCAGCAAACGAGATATTCTGCCAGAGGGAAGAAGCTGGAACATGGCTTTTCCAGAGGACAGAAGAGTCATTGATTATTCTAATAGCTCACTTTAAGATTCTGGATTCATAAAGAACCTCCAGTTTCTCTGTTCTCTCTCTTTGGTCTTTCTCTGGTCTCTCTTTCGGGTCCCTCTCCGTCTCTCTCTCTCGGGTCTCTGTCCCGTCCTCTGGTCTCTCTCTGGTCTCTCTTTCTATGGTCTTTCTCTCCATGGTCTCTCTCAGGTCACTCTCTCTGGTGTGTCTCTCTGGTGTGTCTCTCTGGTCTCTCTCTCTGGTCTCTCTCAATTGTCTCTCTCTGATCTCTCTCAATTGTCTCTCTCTGGTCTCCTTTCTTTGACTGTGATGTCACCAAACCAACAGGCAAACCTTCAATGATGTGGCGATAAAAGTTACGCAGAATCTTAAAGTTTGAAGTGAATTCTCAAAGTTTCCGCAGAAATAAAAGACGGTGACGATTTCTTAACGACCTGATGAGTGTCGCCTCTAAATACATTTTCTTCTCTCTTCCCCACTCCATCAGTAAACTTTAAAATATCCCTTTTGTTTACTTTCCAGGAGTAACACAGCTGTTGGCTTTATCTGTGAGAACAAGAATCAGAAAAAGGGGAAGAAGTGTGCGGATTTCAAAGTGCGCTTCAGGTGCCCAGATGCGTTCTGCAGCGATGACAGTAAGTGTTGTAACAGGACCGGCCACTAGGGGGAGTCTGAGTCTTTCTCACTGGTCTATAGTGGAGGTTCTACAACTTTCAGATATTGTTATGCCTTTGGTAACAGTTTGGACCAGGCCAACGATGACTGTGATTCAACCTGGACAAAAGCTAGGACTGTAATGTTGTGATGGTCTCTTTCTCCGATCTCTCTCTGGTCTTGCTCTGGTCTCGCTCTGGTCTCTCTCTCTCTCTGTTCCGCTCTTGTCTCTCACTCTCTGGTCTCCTTCGCTGTTCTCACTCTGGTCTCTCTCTGGTCTCTTTCTCTGGTCTCTCTCTGGTCTCTCTCTGGTCTCTCTCTGGTCTCTCTCTGGTCTCTCTCTGGTCTCGCTCTAGTCTCTCTCTCTCTCTGGGGACTATTCTGGTTTAAAAACATGTTACTTACTTTGGTCTCGAGGCCACTTCTCTGACTCTGTTCTGGACTACAGCTGGGACTGTGAGATGGCGGTCTCTTCCCGGTCTCAGGACTTGTGTCTTTCGTACAGTTTGCTGGACCAGCTGGTACGATCGGGACGACCCATCGGGCACCGGGGACTGGGAGCTTCTGACAGACCTGCGGAAAGAAAACCCCAACCAGATCTGTGACACCCCTCTGTACATCGACGTGAGGACGGTGGACACCAACCAACCCATCACCCAGACGGGACAGCAGCACCACATGTGAGAGACACTTTCAGTCACACACATCTCTCATTACTGACTACTTTTACATTTCATTGTTACAAGCATAGTCCGTATAAACCACACTGGCTCCCTGTCCCTCCATAACCTGGCTCCTTTTTACCTCACTGACCTCCTCCATCATCTCTGGCCCACCCGCCGCCTCAGATCCACAGACTCCAACCCCTGGATCTCACTCCCACCACACATTAGGACCTCACTACAGAACTTCAAATCTCAAAACCCACTTGTTCAAAACTCTCTACACTTAACCGTTTATTTGTAGGCTTTTTATTTTTGGTTTCTTAGTTTTCTTCTCTGGTCTCTCTCTGGTCTTTCTTTGGTCACTCTCTAGTCTCTCTCTCTGGTCTCTCTCTGGTCTCTCCCTCTGGTCTCTCTCTCTGGTATCTCTCTGGTCTCTCTCTGGTCTCTCTCTGGTCTCTCTCTCTGGTCTCTCTCTCTGGTCTCTCTCTCTGGTCTCTCTGGTCTCTCTGGTCTCTCTCTGGTCTCTCTCTGGTCTCTCTCTCTGGTCTCTCTCTGGTCTCTCTCTCTGGTCTCTCTATGGTCTCTCTTTGGTCTCTCTCTGGTCTCTCTCTGGTCTCTCTCTCTGGTCTCTCTCTGGTCTCTCTCTTCTCTCTCTCTGGTCTCTCTCTCTGGTCTCTCTCTGGTCTCTCTCTGGTCTCTCTCTCTGGTCTCTCTCTGGTTTCTCTCTGGTCTCTCTCTGGTCTCTCTCTGGTCTCTCTCTGGTCACTCTCTCTGGTCTCTCTCTCTGGTCTCTCTCTGGTCTCTCTTTGGTCACTCTCTCTGGTCTTTTTACTTTGAGTTGCCTAGTGCATTGTGTGTGAACTGTACTATATAAAAAAACTAGCCTAGCCTTGTCTAAACCCATATTTCTCTCTCTCTTGCGTCTGCAGCTACAGCCCGACTGAAGGGTTCGCGTGTCGAAATGATGCCCAGAAAGGATGCAGGTGCCAGGACTACAAAGTGCGCTTCGGCTGCCCCTGTAACTGCACGGTGCACCTGGAGGATCCCCTGCAGATCTACGGCCCATAATGCACTGCTGCAGATGTACAGTATCTACGACTTGGCCTTTGATTTGGGACGATCAGACCCAATCAAAAGTGTTTGTGATGTGTTTTAAATTATGAAAATAAAGTGTTTTGCAATATGAACTTTTTGACTTCTTTGTTATTTAAGATTGAGATGAAGAGATTCTTTTTTTGTCCCACGGTGGGGAAATGTCAGTGTTGCAACACCAGTTACAGAACAGTAGGAATGAGGGGTATGCTAAAGTCTCTAACTTTAGCATAATAACTAAGCAAGTCTATAATCCTGTATATTCTATTGTAAGGAATATGTAGTTATGGTGAAGTTTATGGGAGTTTTTGAGGTAATACATTCAACTTGTCTTTTCAAAAATCCACACAAAGCAGAGAGAGAGAGAGAAGAGAGAAAGAAAAAGACCAGAGAGAGACCAAAGTGATACAAGAGAGTAGAGACTAGAAAGAGAGAGAGAAACAAGATCAGAGAGATACCAGAGGGGGACCAGTGTGAGACCAAAGCAAGAGACCACACTGTACACTGTAAAAAGAATTTATTTGAACCAACTTAAAAAAGGTTTCAATTGGTAACAACTAGTGAATTAAATTGTTTCAACTTTTAATTCTATATCGAACTGAACTTGTATTTTCAATCAGATAACAGTTAAATATTTATTCAAGTTTCCCAAAATATTACTTTCTTTCAACTTTACAGCTGTAAAAACAAAAAAAAATAGTTCAAGTCAAAATTCCAGGGCAACTGTCTGCACAGGATGTTTGAGCTGCAGCATCAACTTCATTCTTTCTGTTCTGAAGAACTACAATCATGTTGTGTCAGTTAAAGGCGCTATACCCGTTTCTGCAATGTTTGAATGTTTAGCACCGCCCCCAACTCGCTCAATGGCTTCTCATTTCCCCTACGCTCTCATCCCACGGAGCCACCTAGTTTTATTTGCGATCTGACATGTATGCTAACATTAGGATTAGCACAACTTCTTGTAAGCTGTACAACAATCACTGATGAAATGGTACTAAAGCAATGCACTGCTAACACAATATATAAGTAAAAGAATACAGCTAGTTTCGCGTCCGAGATTATTAATTTAAAGATTAGAATATATTCTAATATTCAATTTTAATTTGTTATAGAGCTCCTCAAAGCAGCAGCACTCCATTGACTTGAATGCAATTCTTCCGACCATTTTTTCTTGATAACAGAACTCTCAAACCAATAATGACCGCAGTCCCAATGCAATCTGTTTGTAATTCAGGTGTGTAAAATACTGCCATTAGTTTGCAAGTACAACAAGCTATCAGCGCCTGTCACTACACACTTGTCTGTGTAGAGAAGCTAGCCACGCTCAATAAACAAATAAATATCTATCGATCAACACCATTAAACGTTAATACAGTACACATATACATCCTTAACACACATGTACGGACGATTTCAGAATTTGCTGTCAACGTTTTCATGACAAAAATACTGTTTTAATGTGACAAAAAGCGATTGCGAAAAACCCGGAAGTAACCATGAAGCAACTAGCTAGCTTAGCTGTTACCTGCCTAGCACGTCCCGGTGAAACATTTGGGAGCTAACTATTTTATTTGCAGTCATTAAATACATTTCGAATTATAAGGGCTGTCTAATATTTGTTCAAATATGTATATATTTTTTTATTTAAGAATTATATTCAAATTTTGAAGTCGAAGCCCTGGCGTTTAGCAGCGCTGTAGAGGCTAGAGGACGCGGGCTGTTCGCTGCTCGTTCTGTGAGTGGAGGAGAACGAGCGTCCCGCTAAGACTCTACTCAGCACCATGGACGTCGGAACTATTTTCTGAGAGGGGGGGCAGTTTTTTGTTGGGAGAGTGGAGGGAGAGACTCATAGTTGGATTACACTGGATAATAACATACCATCTTAATTGTTGAGAAAACAAAAAATAAACAATATATATCAAGCAAGTTACTTGTTTTTTTCAATACGCATTCATGCGTCAGTCTCTCCGGTGGCTTCATTGTGTTGTGTAGCCCAGTGACGTGCGGTCAGATGAGGCAGGTAAGGCCCTCACCTAAGAATCAGAATCAGAATCAGAATCATAATCATTTTTATTGCCACGTAAGTAACAGGAGGTCACAGACTAGGAAATTGCTTTGGCTCAGTGCAACAGTCAAAAAGAGATAATAAAAATAAGAATAAAAAACACTTCTAAAGAATAAATTTAAATTTAAAATAGAGTTACAGTTACTATTTACAATATACAAGTGCACATGGTGCACACAATGTGAGGTGACAGCAGTACAGTGAAGTAAAGTGACGTATGATGGGCAGTAAAGTGACTTTATAAAGGGCGGGGGGACAGGTTCAAGAAGTGTTCAAGAGTCCAACAGCAGAGGGGAAGAAACTGTTCTTGTGGCGGGAGGTTCTAGTCCTGATGGACCGCAGCCTCCTGCCTGAGGGGAGTGGTTGGAATAGTCCATGTGCAGGGTGAGAGGGGTCGGCTGTGATACGACCAGCCCGGCCTCGAGCTCGGGCGACGTACAGGTCCTGCAGCGATGGACGGCTGCGGCCGATCACTTCCTCTGCAGAGCGCACAATGCGCTGTAGTCTCTGTTTGTCCCTGACTGTGGCTCCAGCGAACCACACGGTGATGGAGGAGGTGAGGATGGACTCGATGATGGCCGTGTAGAACTGCACCAACATCTGTGCAGGCAGCTTGGCTTTCCTGAGCTGCCGCAGGAAGTACATCCTCTGCTGGGCCTTCTTGATGAGGGAGCTGATGGTCGGCTCCCACTTGAGGTCCTGGGTGATGTGGTGCCCAGGAAACGGAAGGACTCCACAGAGGTGATGGGGGAGTCCATCACGGAGGGTGGGGGTGGGGGGACAGTGCTCTTCCTGAAGTCCACAATCATCTCCACTGTCTTCTGGGCGTTCAGCTCCAGGTTGTTACCACTGCACCAGGACACCAGCCGGTCCACCTCCCTCCTGTAGGCGGACTCATCGTTGTTGGAGATGAGTCCAATGAGGGTGGTGTCGTCCGCGAACTTGATCAGCTTCACGGAGTTGTGGCTGGAGGTGCAGTGGTTGGTGTACAGGGAGAAGAGCAGGGGAGAAAGAACACAGTCCTGTGGGGCTCCTGTATTTATAATCCGAGAGTCCGAGACATTCTTCCCCAGACGCACTCGCTGCTTCCTGTCCGTCAGGAAGTCAGTGATCCACCTGCAGGTGGAATCGGGCACGTTGAGCTGGGAGAGCTTGTCCTGGAGCAGGGATGGCAGGATTGTGTTGAAGGCAGAGCTGAAGTCCACGAACAGGACCCTGGCGTAGGTCCCCGGGAAGTCCAGGTGCTGTAGGGATGTGGTGGAGGGCCAGGTTAATGGCGTCGTCTACAGATCTGTTGGCTCTGTAGGCGAACTGCAGGGGGTCCAGGAGGGGGGAGGTGAGGGACTTGAGATGGGAGAGAACCAGGCGTTCAAATGACTTCATGACGACAGACGTAAGTGCTACAGGTCTGTAGTCATTGAGTCCTGTGATCCTGGGCTTCTTCGGGACGGGGACAATGATGGAGGATTTGAAGCAGGCTGGGACATGGCAGGACTGCAGAGAGGTGTTGAAAATGTCAGTGAACACAGGAGTAAGCTCACTGGCGCAGTGTCTCAGAGTGGCCGGAGACACGTGGTCCGGGCCAGGAGCTTTGCGGGGGTGCAGCCTCAGGAAGAGTTGTTTAATCTCTTTAGCGGCTATTGTTAGGCTGGGGGCAGGGCTGATGGGTGGGTCGTTAGAGTAGTGGGGGGTGGGGGAGGGAGAGGTGTCAGGGGCAGCATCAAAGCGACTGAAAAATAAGTTCAGTTCGTCAGCTAGCTTGTGGTCGTCAGCACAGGGGGGGGCTTTGGGTTTGTAGTTGGTGATCTCCCGTAGGCCCCTCCAGACAGAAGCAGTATCGTTGTTACCAAACTGCTCCTGTAGTCGTTCTCTGTGCCGGGACTTGGCTGCTTTCAGTTCGTCCCTGAACTGATATTTAGCTGCTTTGTAGCCGCTGCGGTCCCCCTCCCTGAAAGCAGACTCCTTTGCTTTCCTGAGCTGCCGGAGTTTAGCAGTGAACCAGGGTTTGTCGTTGTTATAGATAATCCTGGTCCTTGTTGGAATGATGCTATCCTCACAGAAGTGAATGTATGACGTCACAGTGTCCGTATATTCATCCAAACTATCTGTGGCAGCTCTGAAAAGGTCCCAGTCTGTAGATTCCATGCATGCGCGCAGCTCTTCCACAGCTTCATCAGACCACACTTTGGAGCTCCTCATTGCAGGTTTCGAGAGCTTTAGTCTCTGTCTGTAAGCAGGAACCAGATGTATCATGGAGTGATCTGAGAAGCCGAGGGCTGGCTTGGGAACAGCGCGAAAAGCTCCGCGCACGGTGGTGTAACAGTGATCCAGAGTGTTCTCCTCTCTGGTCGGGCATTTGATAAACTGTCTGTATTTGGGTAATTCCTGGCTCAAGTTTCCCTTATTAAAATCCCCCAGGATAATAATCAGAGAGTCCGGGTATAAGCGTTCCATACACAGTACTTGCTCTGCGAGTGCGCGCTGAGCCTCGCGCGTGTCCGCGCATGGCGGTATGTAAACAGAGGCAAGAATGAATGAAACAATTTCGCGCGGGGAGTAATATGGTTTACAATGAATGAAAAGATATTCCAGAGCAGGAGAGCAGTGCTTGGAGATCACTGTCACATCGTTACACCAGTTTGTATTGACGTAGAAGCAGAGTCCTCCGCCTCTGCTCTTCCCTGAGAGCGCACAATGGCGATCCGCGCGGAACAGCCCAAAGCCCTGCAGCTCCAGAGCGCAGTCCGGGATCCGCTCATTTAGCCAGGTCTCAGTGAAGCAGAGGACACAGGATGTGGCGAAGTCCTTGTTTCTTCTCATGAGCAGGCTGAGTTCGTCCATCTTATTGCCCAGTGAGCGTACGTTGGAGAGAAAAATGCCGGGGAGAGCCGTGCGCGCTCCTCTCCTCCTAAGACGCACCAGCAGGCCTCCGCGCTTTCCCCTTTTACGGGCCCACACTTTTTTGGCTAGAACATGAACTAAATCAGCCGCAGATGCCAAGAAAACAGGCAATAGGTCCATGGGAACGGTGGGTCGGATGTTCATAAGTTCCTCACGGGTGTAGGAACAGCCAGATGCGCAGTTAAAAAGTAAAAACAAAAGAAAAAGAGAGCAGCAAAGAGCCATGTCGACCGTACGAGGCGCCATCTTTGTTAAGTCATCTAAGATCATAGAAAGAAAAGTAATAAAATGGATACAATAATGTTTGGTCACTTTATCAAGTGATTTGTGCTGTGCATTATTTCAATGTAACTGTAAGGGCGGCGCTGTGAGGCAAGCCTCTCTTGGGAGACGTAAAAGCAACAGCTCACAGGGAGAGTCCTGTGAGGTGCTATCAAACTGTTTTCTCTGTTTATCACAGTTTAAAAAGTTCAAAAATATTTAATTTACAATCAACATGTTTACATTTAAGAGGATGGCTCATAAATTGTTTTTTTGAAGCAAATATGGGTCTTAATCGCGCTCAACCACAGCTTGTAAGTGAGGAAAGCCTCAAGGGGGCGCTTGTGTGCCCAAACTTTGGCTGCATCCAATTCCATTAGAAAGCTCCTTTCTTGTTCTTCTTCTGCTAAGGGCAGCTACAGGTTTGGCTAACCATATAATACATTTTAAGATAATTTAAAATGCACTTAGGGTGTATTCAGACCTTAAAAGTCCTTTGCTCCGCTTGCTTGATCCGAATCAAAAGCGGACCAAACTTTTTCTTTTGCTCCGGTTCGTATTCAGACTGTCCTTTTTTGCAAGTGAACTTTTTTATATAAACATATTGACACGTGTGACGATCGGCGCTCCTATTGGACAGCGAGAGCTCACGTAGGATCGACGCGGAACCGGCAGAAAACATTGAGGGCTCGTATGTGCAGCATGTCTGCTCTGCCTATGTTTGCTCTTTTTAGAGCAAAACCACCTTCAACATCAACAGCAGCAGCTCATATGACACAGGCCAAACACGTTGTTTTAAATATTGGAACAGCGTCGGAGAATGCGTGAGGAGAAAGCCGAAGGAGACTGTCTGCGCTCCGTGCCCTGTCCCACACATGGATCTATTATAACCCTGTTCCACAACTTACTGACAGCAGCATCGTGGATAAACCATGGATCTATAATAACCACGGGACAAACAGACGCTGAGGATCAGGTAGGAACCAAAGAACACAATTCACTACATGATGCAGAATATTGCTCTTTGAGACGTGAGTCAAACACGTCAGGCTTTTAATAATGCAAATGGTTTGAAGATGCTGCCATTAACATCAATGTATACTGTGAACAGTTTTAACTCCATAAGCCTGTTGCACAGCGTCTCCTCACTGCTCCAGTCTGCACACGGCTCAGTGTTGTTGTGTAGCGTTAGCAGCATAGTTAGCCGCTGCATGGCTAATTCCTCAGTTTCTGTCTGCGGCTTGTTAAGCCCAAAAAATGCGCACGTATCTTGGAGTTGTGTCGGATCGACACCGGATGTATTCAGACCTGATTCGACTTGGACCAGAATTCGTTTGGAAGCGGACCGAGACCACCTCAAAAAGTGGGTCTCGGTTCGGTTCTTTGGTCCGGACCAGGATTCGTTTGTGTGTATTCAGACCTGCATAAAAGATTCGGATCAGAGTTCCAAACGAATCCTGGTTCGTTTAAAATGGAGCAAATGTGCAGGTCTGAATACACCCTTAGAGTAATGTTTTGCTTCCAATGATGATATGAATCATAAGAAAAGGAGGTGAAGGGTAAGGTTGAATTTAGAAATTGGATTTACCCGGGAGTCGGCTGCAGCAAAACCTGAGGAGTTTACGGAGGAAACACCCGTTTTACTTTTTAAAACTCATTGAACTTATTTCTAAATGGAGGATTACATGTCTGTGCTCAAACTATTATCTGGACTTAAACATGAAACTGGTCCTAACTGAACTGGTCTGTGCTGTTCATTAATACCTAAGGTAAGGCCCATAACACACTTTGTACTTTTTACAAACGTTTGCGTTTTGTATGAGCAAACTATGCAGACATTAAATCATATTCTGCTGTAGCCAAACAAATTGTGTATAAGCCGCTCTGTAGGTCCTGTTGGTTTATATGATGTATTGTGGTGGTTTACATAATTCACCCATGGAACTGTGGTTACTCTGGTGGGGTTCCGGGGGGACAGAAAAAACCGTTGCACAGTTTTCCGACTGAGAGAAATGTTTTTGGTTGTGTGAGGAGTTTTGTTAAGACTGGCTGTTTTATGGCATTAAAACGTGTACGTTTGTCACCGCTGTTTGACACACCGCCTCCGACTCCGCTCCTTACGCACCACATTGGTGACCCCGACGTCAGTCCCGCAGTTTCTGGGACTGATCAAGATACAGAGCAAAGCAGTATGGCGCAGTCCGCCGCTCTCAAGCTGCCTGAGTTTTGGGAGACGTCCGCCGCAACGTGGTTTGCTCAGGCGGAGGCTCAGTTCGCCCTCCGTGGAATTACTGACGATGACACGCGCTATTACCATGTCGTCTCGGCGCTCGGGAGCTCCACGGCGACCAGGACAGTGAGTTTCATTACTTCTCCTCCAGCCCACGGGAAGTATGCGGGGATTAAGGCATATCTGCTGAAGATTTTTGAACTGTCACGTTCCGAACGGGCCCGACGCCTCCTTTCTATGCAGGGCCTGGGGGATAGCAAGCCCTCAGAACACATGGAGGTGATGTTAAACCTGCTGGGCGGTGAAGAGCCAAATTTCCTCTTTGTGGAACTGTTTCTGCGACACATGCCACCTCACGTGCAGACGGCTCTCGCGAATACAGCCATTACGGAGCCACGTGCTCTGGCGGAGGAGGCGGACCGGTTCTTCCTGGCCACCCATCGTTTCGTCCCTGACGTGTTGGCCCCGACACGCAGCTACACCCCCCCTGGTGCGGCCGCTCTGCCTGTTAGGGGGCGCATTGTGGCTGACGGCCCGGCCAGCCCTGGTTTGTGCTACTTCCATGCGCGTTTCGGGGCCAAAGCTAAGAGGTGCCGCTCCCCATGCAGTTTCAACGCGACGGGAAACGCCAAGGCCTGCGCTCAGTAGTGGCCGTGAGCGCAGGCGCGAAGGGCCGGCTGCTGTTTGTTGTGGACACCCTGTCCGGGCGCAGGTTCCTCTGTGACACTGGTGCCCAGAGGAGCGTTCTGCCGGCTACAGTGGACGATGCTGCTGGGGGGTTGCATGGCCCGCCCTTAACGTCCGCCAATGACACCCCTATCCGGACATATGGCACAAAGGCTGTGGACGTATGTTTCGGGGGCCAGCGGTTTACATGGGACTTTGTCACGGCCGATGTCTCGTTTCCCCTCCTCGGTGCAGATTTTCTGTGCGCCCAGGGGTTGCTCGTGGATGTCAAAAATGGCCGCCTGGTGGACGCTTTGACCTTCTCCTCATTCGCGTGTGTCTGTGATGAGGGGACATACAATGGTCTCTCCAGCTCGCTCGCTGAAGGTGACAAGTACCTGCGGCTCCTCATGGAGTTCCCTGACCTGACGCGGCCCACTTTCTCGGCTGCTACGGCTAAACATGGAGTCGAACACCACATCGAGACCAGAGGCCCTCCTATCCACGCCAGGGCCCGGCGGCTCAATCCGGAGAGGCTGACGACTGCCAAGGCCGAATTCGCCAACATGGAACGACTTGGCATCATTCGCCGTTCTGACAGCCCGTGGGCTTCACCACTCCACATGGTTCCAAAGCCAGACGGTGGGTGGCGTCCGTGTGGTGACTACCGCCGTCTTAATGATGCGACCACGCCCGATCGTTACCCGGTGCCCCACATTCAAGACTTTTCCGTACATTTGGCGGGGAAGTCCGTGTTCTCTAAAGTGGATCTGGTGCGGGGTTACCACCAAGTCCCGGTGCACCCTGCGGACATCCCGAAGACGGCAGTGGTGACTCCTTTCGGGCTGTTCGAGTTCCTCAGGATGCCTTTTGGCCTGAAGAACGCAGCCCAGTCGTTCCAGCGGCTAATGGACTCAGCACTCAGGGACATGCCTTTCATCTTCGTCTACTTGGACGATGTCCTCGTCGCCAGCTCCTCGGAGGAGGAGCACCTGACACATCTCAGAGTTCTTTTTACACGGCTCGACCAGCACGGGCTGATCATTAACCCGGCTAAGTGTGTTTTTGGGGTGCCGTCCATAAAGTTCCTCGGGCATCTCATCACCAGTGAGGGGGCTGCCCCCCTCCCTTCGAAGGTGGACGCCGTTTCCACTTTTCCACGCCCACGCTCGGCCCGGGGGCTCCGTGAGTTCCTCGGTATGGTTACCTTCTACCATCGGTTCATTCGACAAGCGGCTCACGTAATGCGCCCGCTCTACGAGGCCCTTAAGGGTACGACCCCTAACCAGGACGTTGTCTGGACCGCGGAGGCAGACCAGGCCTTCGAGGACACAAAAGTTGCGTTGTGCCAGGCCGCTATGTTGGTCCACCCGTCACCTGGGGCCCCGGTTGCCCTCACTACTGACGCGTCCGACTATGCCGTGGGCGCTGTATTCGAGCAGTGGGTCGAGGGTACCTGGCAACCGCTCGCCTTTTTCAGCCGCCAGCTTGTCCCCAGGGAGCGTAAATACAGCACCTTTGACAGAGAGCTGCTCGCTGTTTGGTTGGCAATCCGCCACTTCCGCTTCCTCCTGGAGGGCCGTGAGTTTACGGTTTTTGTTGACCACAAGCCCCTTACGTTCTCCATGTCTAAGGTGGCCGAGCCGTGGTCCGCCCGCCAGCAGCGCCAGCTGGCGTTCATCTCGGAGTATATCACGGACATACAACACATTGCCGGCAAATCCAATGTGGTTGCGGATTGTCTTTCCAGGGCGGTCGTTGGTGCTGTCCAGCTCGGACTAGACTACGCACGTATGGGTGCAGACCAGGCCGCAGACCGCACCCTTCAGTCCCTCAAGGACTCGGACACTGGACTGCAGCTGGGAAAGGTCGCGGTCGGCGCTTCTGGGGTCAGGTTGTGGTGTGACCTCTCTACCGGCCAGCCCAGGCCTCTGGTCCCCGCCGGCTGGCAGCGGTCTGTTTTTGAGACTATACACGGCCTGTCCCATCCTGGCAGAAAGGCATCTGTTAGGCTTGTATCGCAAAAGTTCGTCTGGAGAGGACTCAAGAAGAATGTGCGGGCCTGGGTTGATTCTTGTGTGGCCTGTCAGCGTGCTAAGGTGCACCGCCATACCAAGGCCCCGTTAGAACCTTTTGTTGTTCCGGAGAGGAGGTTTGACCACGTTAACATCGACCTGGTGGGGCCGCTTCCCCCGTCACGTGGTTTCACTTACCTCCTCACGATGGTAGACAGGACGACGCGCTGGCCTGAGGCGGTTCCTCTTGCCTCTATCACGTCTGCCGATGTGGCTCGGGCGTTCATTGGCACGTGGGTGTCGCGTTTCGGTACGCCCTCTGATCTATCCTCTGACCGGGGTGCGCAGTTTACCTCGGAAATCTGGAATGCTGTTGCGGGGGGTTTGGGTGTCAAGTTGCACCGCACCACCGCATACCACCCCCAGGCTAACGGACTGTGTGAACGATTCCACCGCTCTATGAAGGCTGCCCTTCGGGCCAGCCTGACGGACGGCAACTGGGTGGACAAACTGCCCTGGGTCATGCTTGGCCTTAGGACCGCCCCCAAGGAGGATCTGCAGTCCTCGTCTGCCGAGCTTGTTTATGGCCAGACTTTGCGGGTGCCTGGGGATTTTATACCGGATGCTACGAGACCTTGGTCTGCTACCGAACAGCGGTCCTCCCTGCGGGAGGTGGCCACGGGGTTTGCGCCTGTTCCTACGTCGCAGCACTGCTCCCCTGAGTCCCGGATGCCCGCTGGCCTCCGCTCTGCGTCGTTTGTTTTCGTCCGCCACGACGCCCACCGTGGACCGCTGCGTCCCCCTTACGACGGCCCGTTTAAGGTTTTGCAGCATGAGGACAAGAGCCTGGTCGTGGACATTGGGGGTAGACCTGAAACTATTTCCGTTGATAGGATCGAGCCTGCTCATGTGGACATTTCCAGACCGTTGGTGTTGGCCCAGGCCCCACGCCGCGGACGCCCCCCAGTACTTTGTCCCCCTGGTCAGTCGGGAGTTCCTTCAACCGGGACGGTGCCGGCTGCGTCCCCCGCTTCCCTCCCCTCAGCCCCGGCCACTTGTACTCGGAGTGGTCGGGCCATCATTCCATTCCCGAGTGGGGATTTTGACTATGGTTGAATTCTGGGGGGGCTTGTGTGGTGGTTTACATAATTCACCCATGGAACTGTGGTTACTCTGGTGGGGTTCCGGGGGGACAGAAAAAACCGTTGCACAGTTTTCCGACTGAGAGAAATGTTTTTGGTTGTGTGAGGAGTTTTGTTAAGACTGGCTGTTTTATGGCATTAAAACGTGTACGTTTGTCACCGCTGTTTGACACACCGCCTCCGACTCCGCTCCTTACGCACCACAGTATAATCATATGAACACATGATTGATCCCCCACCGCACGTCACTGGTGTAGCCAGGTCTCTAATCTGCGCAAGGCTGAGAAAGAGCGCTCAGAGGCTGCGACTGATATGAGCCAGACAGAGCTTCATAAGCACCTCCGACAGCATGGAGCGGGTTTTGGGCTGCAAGGAACGCAGGATAGTGATAACTTCTCGCTCCCGGCACACGCGGAGGGGGTGCCGGGTGCACCCCTAGTTCCGACATCTATGCTCAGCACTTTTCACTGCTTGTAATTCTTAGCTGAATCAATGACCTCAAGTTTTCAATTAAATTATGTATTATGATACAACTTGTATGTAGTAAAAAGCATTTTTATGAACTACTTAGAAAAAAAATCGGGAATAGCTTCTTTAAGTTTTCCAAGTTCTACCTTTCATTACTATTAACATTCTGAAAAGATGACCCAGGGACTATATAGGGCTACTTTGGCCTGGCCTGGCCCTGTTAATTACGGTTGGTAAAAATAAAGTGTATTTAGTATGAAGGTTATTTTGTGTTTTTATTATCAACACTTTTTTTTGCTTTTGAATTCTATAAACTGTAACAAAAAGTATTGTGTGTGTGTTGTCTTGTTTTGTCCTGTCTCTGTAGTCATGTCATGTATTAGTTCATTCTATGTACCGTATAAGTTTCCAGCTGTTTACGAATGATCCTGTATGTATAAGGTTCTTGTACTGTACTTTGTGTTGAATGTGTGAGGGGGTTGGAATTCAATAAGCATTTGCTTCATCCACCTCCTTTTCAAACCATGCACCTGTATATTTGTCTGTTATGTTGATTTTTGAGATGATGATGTTTGTGCAGGTTTTGAAATAAATAATATCTATCTATCTATCTATCTATAAGATCTTTCTGTTGGTGTTATTACCTTAACATGTATCGACGGATAACTTGCGTCTTCCTCAGAAGCGTCTCGCGACGTCACACGTGCCTTTTACCAGCTGCTGTTCCCAGGCAAAGTCAGCCCAGCCATATGTGGTTTACCAAACAGATCTTATGTTGTCTGGTATAGAAGAACCAATACTTTCAATTCTACTAAGAAGACAAGATGAATCTTCCTAAACAAGCAAAAGTACATTTCTCATGTTTTGACGTCAAAGGAAATATGTGGTTTCAAACAACTAAAACATAAAACAAGTCATGCATGTTTTAGTTGTTTGAAACCACATATTTCCTTTGACGTCAAAACATGAGAAATGTACTTTTGCTTTACGTAAATTTGTACCTTGCTTCAACTAGGGCCTAAATACACTTTATTTTTACCAACCGTAATTGACAGATAAATAATTCAATGTTTTAAAATTCAGTGTCCCAAAATGTGTTGCATTTTTTTTTGCTGCTTGAAATGTCATGCTTTATTTCCGGGTAAATCAAGAACAAAGCAATCGATCAGCCAGTCCTCCATGGATGTAGCCAGGGCCAGAACATGACTGTCTTGTTCATCTGAACATGGCGTCCACAGCAAACCAGTAAGTGTGTTTTCTCATCATTAGTTGGGCGACAGTAGCTCAGTTGGTAGAGCATTGGCCTTCAGGCCTGAAGGTCGTGGGTTCAATTCCCACCTCCACACCTTCTCCACCGACTCCCACTGATGTCTGCTGTCGTTGTGTCCTTGGGCAAGACACTTAACCCCACTGAAAGATCAAGGCTATGCTCACACTCAGAGAGCAGCCGTCCTCCTGTGGACTCACCACCTGCAGAGGGTCAGTGAGGGGCTGGTGCTATGAGACTTGGGTGGCATCTCTGACTGCCACCCCCCTGACCCAGAAATGGATTAAAGGGTAGAAAATGGATGGATGGATAGTTGGTGTGTAACAAACCACTACTGTTTGTACTTTCTGAACATGTTTTTACCTTAGCTTATCATTAGCTAGCTCCGCGTAGGTGGCGTCTACGTTTTGGCGATTCCCCAAAGCTAATCTTCGCTAATGCTAAGCTAAAAAGAACCGCAGGAAAGCCAAGTACAATGGGGGTTTGCGGTTCTTGTGTGACATATGTACTATGTTCCCAATTTCAATGTGTATATTATTCTAGCAGTGCAGCAAGGACGAAACCTGCTGACTGTTTTAGAGACAGAGCATAAGGGGTTGTTGTTAATTATGTTGTTCATTTTTATGTATCTAGACCTCCGATAATTATTCTATCTTTACTCTTAAATTTTGACATCTTAGTGAAACCAAGATGGAATGAAGGATCGGTTCTTTAGGGAGAAAACAAACCCATGGATTCAATATTAATGCTACAAAGAGGAATCAGACTGATAGATGGTTTTAATTGAGTATATTTGTAAATCCCACTTTACCAGCCTCCTGTTAAAGAATGGACATGTATTTACATTTACTGTTGACATGTTAAGTTCATGTGTGTGTTTGTAAAGGCATCGTACTTCTGCTCCTCCCCAGAGCGTCTGTTTCTACTCTACTACTGTGTATTTATATTAATTTGACTGGGACAGTACATGTATATGAACATATATGTCGACATGTCTGATTGTAACAAAAGTCTCATTTTAATCCCAGAAGAACCGGGTCTGTTTAAATTAATGATTTTTTTTTGTGAATTTCTTTTCCAGAGGCATCATTTATTCATCCATTTCCATCACCTCCAGCTTCTGTGGATTACGATATAAACTACAACGACTAATATGTTCATTTGTTTTATTAATTACAAGTCATGGATAGTTAGAACACATCTCTCATTTTCTGAAGACATATGCAGCAGCAGCAACAGCAGGTGCCTGGACGTCTTTTCTACGGTGGACTCATCACAACCTGGAATAAAATAAAATAATTTTGATTTAGTTCTTTGTGTGCAATGAAAAGTGATGTATGCGTTTTTTTAACCAACCACACAATCCGTGAGAAACATGTTTCATAGCTTGTATTTAAGTAATACTTCTAATCAAATACATTTAAGCCATTAACTCTGACATGATCAGGTCTGTTGGATTTCAAGAGGAGCTTGTGCTCAAAAAGTAAGTACTCATGACCTTAAATCTGGTCTGTAAGTTCAAGTCCACGCGTCTTCTGTGTCCAGCTTCATGTTCACAGATGTCCCCCTGTCATCAGTAAATGCACATAATCACGTTTGTACTTAATACAAATTACTTTACAACAAAGTGATGCACAAACGAGGGCCATAGCAAATCCATCAATCGCACTAAAAACATGCATTATTTACATGAAATATCACATTTTTAAGACTAATGATTACTCTTAAAACAATTGTTTATAACAGAGAAAGTACAGTAGGTCCCATTTTGTTTTGTCGTCTTCACTCACGCTTTTCATGAATCACGCAGCTGCGTGAAACATATTACATCCTATCGCCACTAGGTGGCAGGTTAAGTCCGCTTTAGCTCTGCCAGCGACTTAAACGCTCGGGTATAAGACTGAAAAAGAGCTAAAAAAGGTCTTGTTATGACTCTCAAATCATTAATGACAAAACAAAGACTAAAACGAGGATTTATATCGGGATGCCTTTGAACAATTGAGACAGCTGATAAAAGTTCACGTGTGATGCAGAATTTTCTAGTTTGAGGCCGTTCTTCACAGCATCTCTACTCGTGTGACTTGGTGGTCTAGTGGTCTAAACTGTGCGCTTACGATGCAGGAAGCCGGGTTCGATCCCGGGCTATGTCTTTTTGTATTTATTGCATGTTATCACTCGAGGGTTCATGGGAGTTCGCCCAACCTGTCCACATGTGCTTTGTGGATTTGGAGAAGGCGTTCGACCGTGTTCCCCAGGGTGTCCTTTGGGGGGTCCTCCGGGAGTACGGGGTCCGGGGTCCTCTGCTGAGGGCCGTCCGGTCCCTGTATGACCGGAGTCAGAGCTGTGTTCGCATTGCCGGCAGTAAGTCAGACCTGTTCCCGGTGCATGTTGGCCTCCGCCAAGGCTGCCCTTTGTCACCGGTTCTGTTCACTGTATTTATGGACAGAATTTCTAGGCGCAGCCAGGGGCTGGAGGGGGTCCGGTTTGGGAACCACAGGATTTCATCTCTACTTTTTGCGGATGATGTCGTCCTACTGGCTCCAACGAACCAGGACCTGCAGCATGCACTGGGACGGTTTGCAGCCGAGTGCGAAGCGGCTGGGATGAGAATCAGCACCTCCAAATCCGAGGCCATGGTGCTCGACCGGAAAAAGGGGCCTTGCCCTCTGCAGGTGGGTGGAGAAGTCCTTCCTCAAGTGGAGGAGTTCAAGTATCTCGGGGTCTTGTTCACGAGTGAGGGGAGGATGGAGCGTGAGATTGACAGGCGGATCGGTGCAGCGTGCGCAGTGATGCGGTCGCTGTATCGGACCGTTGTGGTAAAGAGGGAGCTGAGCCGAAAGGCGAAGCTCTCGATTTACCGGTCAATCTTCGTCCCCTCCCTCACCTATGGTCATGAGCTGTGGGTAATGACCGAAAGAACGAGATCGCGGATACAAGCGGTCAAAATGAGCTTCCTCCGCAGAGTGGCTGGGCGCTCCCTTAGAGATAGGGTGAGGAGCTCAGTCACACGGGAGGAGCTCGGAGTAGAGCCGCTGCTTCTCCACGTCGAGAGGAACCAGTTGAGGTGGCTCGGGCATCTGTTCAGGATGCCTCCTGGACGCCTTCCTGGGGAGGTGTTCCGGGCACGTCCCACCGGGAGGAGGCCCCGGGGAAGACCCAGGACACGCTGGAGAGACTATGTCTCTCAGCTGGCCTGGGAACGCCTTGGGGTCCCCCCGGACGAGCTGGAGGAGGTGTGT